ATGTAAAGGATATTATCACATCGTGATAGTACGACCAGGTAGCTAACATTCGAGAGGGAACTCAATAAGAACGTGTTAATAGGAAAGAATTAGTTTGCCAAGAGACGTGTCTGACGTATGACATTGAAGAATGTACCTCTATTAAACACCATATGGCAGAATCCACACCCCACCGAGAGCAGGTGAACGTGGATCAGTATCAGGGTTCTGGAAGGGTGAAGGACAGTATGGATAACAGGAAGAATGAAGTTTTAGACCCTACATCTAGTGAAGAGAATGATGAAACAAGGTTTGGTCACTGTAAAAGAACGGGAGTAATTCAATGTTCATGATCAAGTAGATGGATAATGTGATAAATGAACCTATGTTCTCGTGTTGCATTGCCGAGCACACCGTAAACCAGGAGAATGTCAGTATGTACCGCCCCATTGTGTCTGACTTCGACTCCATGCCAAAATTCAATGGAAAGCACCCGAACAGGGCTTTCACGTTGTCCAGCTGGGCACACGAGTACGTCACGGTAGGTCTAAACTTATCCCGTGGCATGACGATATTGAAGGGCCAGGTACGGGAACCGAGACCACGGCGAGGATCATTCCTATGTTAGAGAAAGTTCCGGGTTCTTGCGAGTTGCAGGAGCTTGTATTCTTGAATCCTATATTTAATCAGGATTGTACTCGACTGCTCTTCTTTCGACAAGGAGAACACGACATTTGAGGACTTTGGCGCCCACAACAAGATACGCATTTGGAGAATTGAAGGAAACAACAAAAGCAGCCACTCACCCTGGCTGTGGTTGCCACCGTACGGAACAACAGAGAACGTTCATGTATGTACCTTGGGGTGAATCAAGTTCCTAAATTAGTGGTCGCGTAAGCCAAGACCCACTACAATAGCCACTGCGTCTCATAAACAAAAGGTCAAAGCTGTAACAACTCACCTATTATATAAAAGTCCGAGAGGTACTTCCGCCTCTCTTTCATTATACACCTACCCAACCAAAGCTCCAAGTGCCACTGCGCGAGAATCGCAAGGCTCTATTCATCGAACTGTCTTCTCAACTGCTGTTCTGCAATCTTTCACATTGACACATAACGCCACCGTCATGGTTATGTCATACCTCGCACCCGAGCCATTCAAGGCACCTACATACGAGGCTTCAGAATACGTCTTCTCTGGCCTGAGCTTCGACGAGCTCCCCGATCAGGCCAGGTCGTATCTTGCCAATGAGATAGGAGTCACATCGACGTCGAGAATGACATACAATCATTTCGTCCACGGATTCGTCGAGCTGTCAAGACAGCTTAGAACGTGTCTAGAGGGGAACGACAGGGCCCTCATAGGATTGAAGAATGAGGTGCGGAGGAAGAGTATATGTGGATCCCTGGAACCTACAGTGGCCACAGAAGAGGAGAACCTAGCGAGATTACAACACGTACTTGAAGTCTTACTTCCCGAACGACAAGCTATCTTGGATAACTTCGTACAGAAGTGGGACGCGTTGATTTGGTTAGAGATTGAAGGGATGCCACAGGAAGGGCGTCCGCCGCATGAGCAGCAACAACGATATCGAAATGATTCGCTGGAACGCGTGTTCGAGATGGCGAATGAGTCGACTAGTGAGTTGGATGAGAAGCTGTTGAGGGAAGAGATGCAAGAGATGAGCAAGCTCTTTGTGTCGAAGGGTGGAGTGGAGGAAAGGGGTCGTACCACTAGTCGGAAACGTAAGTTGCTCCTTGATTGTGACGCAAAGTGACATTGACAAGTTTTGGTAGCGACTGTAGGGGTCTATCGACCACCAGCATTACGCTGTGGGGCATAGGATGGCAAAAACAAGAAGGAGAACACGGATAAACCACTAGGACACTGCAGGTCTTAATCCGCTACAGATAACAGGGTACACACCCGTCACTAATGTATACCTGGTTTCCTGGCTGTGACTTGAGATGTTTTATTGAATCCATAATTGTACAACGATGCCAAAGCTCCATAACTTGACAGTGTTCGAGCAATCTGAAGGGAAAATAATTTCTGATTGAAGAGAGCTCACGAGAGTCGTGTTCAAGGTGATTTATCGGAAGGCTACACTGCAAAACGAGGCAAGTACCAATCGGGATATATGTCTATGTCCTGATTTTTTGAGGTAGACCGATACCCTGAGCGATATGTGGAACACTGTGCAAAAGTACAAGCGAAAGGTGTCCTAGGTTGAAGAGGCTGTGGTATATTTACAAGGGTAAGGCGTGGGAAAACTCAGTATTCAATTCCGAGAGGCCGCCTGCAGGGATCTTGTTCTTCACTCCTTATTGTTTTGTTCCCAATATTCCTACATCTACGCCACTTTCAGAGCAGAACATATAAATACCCTCCGAAAAACTGTATACTGATCTTGTGCTTGAACTGATCGCTCAATGGAAGACGGTGCACAATTGAACGAACTTCGGGAACTCCTGAGACGTGCGGAGAGGACACCCGTGAAAACGGCTGCTGTTGTGAGTTTTTTGTCCTTCGCGTTCTTCGTATCAACTGATGTACGTTGCCGTAATAGAGGAAGGACACATTGAAGAAATTGATCGACTTGGCTCACTCTCAACATCCCTCTGTCAAGCTAACAGTGGCAGAGAAAATCCCGGCTTATCTTAAAGACTTTCCGGAGCTCGAGGATGAGGCCATCAACGCAGTGTATGATTTATGCGAAGACCCAGATCCCACTGTGCGTATGCTTGATGTATTGTTCAATTCATCCCACTGAGCAGCTCCATCTAGGTTCGGATACGTGGGTACCGCACTATCAGTGCTGTATCCAAGGCACAACCCAAGTGGGTGAAACGAAATGCTGACGTCTTGGTCCAACTCCTTCAAAGTGGTACGTATACTGTTACTGACCACGCCTCTTTCAAGGTGGCGGACTCAGCGCCGCCACATGGCGAAATGAATATTGACAAAGTCGTGTAGATGACACCAATGAAGTCGATGTCGTGAAGCGGGCTTTGACTGAACATCTCGATCTGGATCCTACCACAACCCTAGGGGTACTTTGTGATCAAATCCTTCTACCTGAAGACCCTACGGATGACGAGGAACAAATTATGCGCGAGCGTCTTCGATCACTAGTGCTGGTGTATTTGTCGGAGGATGCGAAGCGAGGGATCATTGAGAGGCATGCGAATAGTCAAAATCCGGCCGAAGATGTTCTTGTGTCCAGTTTGCTGAAGGTCAGTACCCTTTCCCTTCGTCTTTGGCTCTTGCTTCTATAACGTCTTTCAGGCAATAGGCAAAGTTCGATCGATGGATACGGACATCATCGTCAAGAATATTTTGCTTTCTCTTCCGACTTTCAGCCAATACTCTTCTCGGGGCAAGGAATTGCTAGATGTCATTCTCACCGAAGCTAAGGCAGTACTCAAGGAAGACGTTCCCGCCAGCAACCTTGCGCATACTCGATATTTCCTTGAACTTGCGAGCTTCGTTGCTGTTGAGAAGCAAGTCGCTCACCCGGCACTTTTGCTGCGCTTTTTGCAAGCCAACCTTGTTCCCAAACTTCCGGGTAACAGGCTGTCTGAGGAAGATTCCCTGTTTGTCTTCGAGCTTTATGGGAATTTAGTCTCGACTACATTCCGTGCTGACGCCAAACTGGGTGCCAACTCCCCTTCTACTGATGAACTTTCCGCCATCCGAGTACAGGTTGTGGAAGCGTGTGTCATACTTCTACCAGTAGGTTTAACTGGGTGACCTATGGTGTTGACTAGTGATACTAAAATTATCTCAGATATTCGCATCCTCGAAACAACCACACGATCAATCACAATGGGACGCGTGTAAAGCCTTAGTAAAAACATGCATCTGGGTAGGTCACGGTATCGAGACTGCTACAACTAATCCTCACTCTGTCCATTCAGCGGAAGACCGAGAAGGGATGGTCAATACCATCAAATCTCACCAATATCCTTGAGAAGGTCCAGCAAGTAGCTTCAAGTGCAATGAAGGAAGAACGAGTGGACAAGACATCCCTCGAAGAAATACAGAGTGATATTAGGGTTCGCAACGGGCCACTTTTGATTTTAGGCATTTGTCTTCAACTTTCGTCTCTTCTTCTCTGTTTGAGCAGTCACTTTTACCACTTCCACCTGCCGCGATGAACAAGTCAACCTCGCAACAACAGGCAGCGTCAACCTCAAGCGATATTAACTCCTCAAATCCACCAAAAGGTATGGATAAGACTAATGGGTCCCCGCCGGTCATCATCAAACGCAATCGCGACGTTCCAGTCTCGCTACCACCTCGGCCGAGTATTTCGACACCCCCCAGACGGGGTTTATCACCACGACCACGTCAAGATCGACCGCAACGGCAAGATCAGGGTCGCCCAAGGACACAGTCCGAGATTGTCCCAAGTACCAGTTACAACAAGCGAGATTCCACGCGTTCAACTTCACCTCCTCGGAGAGGAGGCAAGCCTCAGAGTGATATTGGAGGCGGAGGATCGCTTCTCAGTAGGATGAATGCAAATAATGGCTTACCAAAATCGACACCACCTTCAGTACCGTCGAAACGGCGAGCGGAACAAGACGAAGCACCGCAGAGACGACCAGCTGCTGCCCCTCAACAGTCAAGAGACGATGATATGCCGGAGACGGGTTGGAGTATCAAGGGAGCCGCATCGAAACAAACCGGCAAGGGTTCTGGGGATAGGAATGGTCCCTTCTCATCATCCAAATCTGCGTCGTTATTGGCGAGGATGAACAACGAGGGGAATTATTCCGATGCTAATGAGCGAAGAGGGAAGAAAAGGGTGAAGAGCTCGTGATTTGTCCTACTTAGCCTTGGTGTCATTTAGTTAGCGCTATGCTATGCCAATATTTGCTCACAGCAAAACAATTGTGTGACGGTAGGGTTCTGGTAGATGCAACGAACCTTAAGTGAGGTCGGAAGTCGATGTCATGATAATAGACTTATGTAGTCAACAGAGAAACATAGGTATCGAGCGCAAAAGTAGAGGTAGCCCACCGCGAGGGTCGAACTCGCAGCCTTCAGATCGCCCTTGACCACGAATGGTCTTAAAAGTCTGACGCTCTATCCGATTGAGCTAGGCGGGCGATAATGGTTGGCGCTAAGGTATTTACACAACGGCACCAAGTCAGCTCAAAAAATGAAGAGTAAAATTTGACATGAAATTTCTATGTAGAAGACCTTCTGGCTCATGCAAAAGTACTAGCCCACCGCGAGGGTCGAACTCGCAGCCTTCAGATCACCCACCTACTCTTGTGTAAGAGTCTGACGCTCTATCCGATTGAGCTAGGCGGGCTGATGACCTATAGCTCTCTATCTCAACTGTGTTGAGACCACCAATTAGTTAATATCAAACGAGCGCTTACTTGACTTGGACGTTCAGTAGCCTCGTGTTGACTCCTCGAGTCCGAATTCGAGCACTCTGGTTGACTTCGAATTCCCAGCGAACGACATGCCTGGGAGTTCGCAGGCTCTAGCCGGTATAAATAAACGTGCGTTATCGTACCATCTCTCAGCCTTCTCTATATCAACATCCATCACCATCCCTCAGACCATCCCTTGGTTCATTCATGACGAACTTCAATAGTGAGAAGTCTCAACTGCCTTCTACCGTTGGAGCAACGGTAGGAGCAGATGAACTTCCCTCTTACCAGCAATTGCATATGGAGCAAGATCTAAAGCAAACGTTCACACAGCTCATACTGGATCATCAGGAGATACAGAGGTTGTTTTCCTCCGTCAGTGCTACATTGGCGAATACTCCACATGTCGGAGCAGGTCACGATCTGTATATTGTATGGGATTGCCTTTGGAAGGTAGAAACGATCGTAATACGGGTGCTCAATGACTGACATTATCTCACAGAGGCATGATGCGGCACACCGCGCCTCCCAACGCAACGCAAGCAAATGTGCCCAAATCCTTGAGGGTGAGTATCATCGCTCATGTTGTCTATTTCATTTCAATGGTAAGTAGATTACACATCTGTCCTCGTACCGCTATCAAAAGCAAACATGGATGTCGAAAAGAAGGCTAAAGTCATCAACATATTCATGGAGGTACCTCTTCGTGGAGCTTAGTCGCTTATACTGGTACCCAAACCTAACACCTTGTCATAGGATTTACCTGTCTACGAAGAGTCTGCTAGGAACCTATCTACGGAGTTTCGAGACCTCGCAAAGCTTGTAGAAATCTTTCCCGCCACGTTATCTTCTTATTTGGCAGGAGTGCAGGGAGTTTGGGAAAGGCTATGGTCAGGTCTTGGAAGGTGCGAATACTTATCCTCTACAGCCAGATTATAGATTCATTGACATCACGTATCTAGTATTTTCCAGTCCGTTTGGAGTGTACGAATGTTCTACAATTTGTTAAACATCGAATCTGACACTCTATAAATAGGCCTTGTCTAGCTTAGCAAGAACTTTCCAAAACTTACTATCTTGTATAGGGAGGATCTGTGTTAGCGGTCAGTTCGATTTGACGTCTCCGCACATAAGTACTGACATTTTGACCCGGATCACGCAGCCCCGTGTCTCGGCGTCACCGTTAGGCTCTCTTCTAGTAAGTATTCCCTTCAAAACCGTCTCAGTGTCTATTAAATAGTTTCCAGCGAGGAACACGTCTCCCCAGAACTATTCTGTGACACACCAAGTTCCAGTTGCAGATGGCGCCACGGTATTGACGGAACGCCTCGCTGGTTTCGAGGATGCATGGCATCTCGTTTCCTTGAAATGTGACAATCTGCTACAAAGTGTCAAGATGGCCGGGAAACTGTCTGTAAGTACCAAAACCGTCTCCAAAATTCAAGCGACCACTCCTATCAAAATGCTGTTCGCTGACTATTCACTCATAGGCGATCCCTAAAGTTTCCAATGCCGTTTTGAAGAATGCTGAAATGATACATCTCCCGCTCCAAGAATGCCTCTCAGCTTATGCTAACGGCAAAGCACCGTTGTAAAACATTCAAGGTGATATGTAAGATGTATGTGACTGGTGGGTTTCTTGAGCGGTAATCGTGTACCGTGTCCGTATAGTTTCTTGTTGTATTTGTATCGTTGGCGTATCGTGTACCAGAAGAGGTGTGAATGAGAATTCATCCTTATATTTCCGCATGCGTTTATACTCTTCGTACGATGCGTTAAGAACATCCCATCGTGAATTTCGAAGCTTGGTCAAGGTTCGGAGAAAGATATGTCGGCGTCAAATGGGCTATACAGCTTGAACTCGAACTTGTCAAACAACATTAAACACGGGCACATAATGCCGACACAGCGACGTTCGAAACATTGCCGTGACTGTGTACTGAATTACTGATAGCCTGTTGGCTGAACGTCGGCCAACTTGACCTCACTAGTACGGCACGAGGTAGCATATTACTTTCACTAATCCCATCTCGTGTAGGAACGGGACCAAGCTGACCTGGCCTTCTCAATTTTTATTTGGTATCTCAACACGCTCATACTTGAGTCATCAGGCAATGCCGAGGGATCGGTGGATGCCACTTTCGGACAGCCAAAACCTTCGACATTGACATCCTAACATATGCTCCCGAACAGGCTTCCGAATGCGACAAGTCAGTGGCAATTTTTGAACAACACACACTCGTATCGTCCCACGAGTGGTCTTCAGGCTCACATCCTCCCAAAGTTGGTATCCTACCTCCCCATTCAAACACGCCCGCAGTCTTCTGCATTCTTCTCGTACGTTGGTCCGAAACCATAAAAACCCTCCCATCGCGAAACCCTCTGCTATTCCCCCTTCTCCTCTCTCCCCTTCGCAATATCTGGTTAAAAGCTCGTCATGGATGGTTCCCTGTTGCGGCTTTTTACCAAGATTGCCTCGGATAGGCGAGAGTTGAATAGTAATCTCGTCAAAATCGATAATCTCCTTGGGACGTCCTCTGCTATTGGGGAGGGTCATAACCTTTATTGCGAGCGGAGCGAGCATACATTGGTTAGGGGTGTAGTTAGGGAACAAACAAGTACAAATTTCACGTTTCAATTTCAAACTCCGCAAGTCGCATACAGTCCTTCTATATCTTGAGTATTTGCACATAATCTTAGCAATAAACTGCACCATTGGATTCACAACATGTACTTCTACCATGCTAGACCTTTTCGGCTTGAAAATTGAAGTATTTGTGGTAGTGCAGTAGGCATCCTGGCATCGACTGCCACACCGTGACACACAATGCGTTCCAAGTCACGTACTGCCAGTGTTACCTCTTCGTCTTAAATGCGCTGTCACATGTTGTCGTTAACGTTCATAAATCCAGACTCCACGGACTGACTCTTCCTCAAGCCGGTCTTGGTCTTGGTAAGACCAGGTTCTGTACCAGCCTCACTTTGATTGCACTCTCTTGGGCAAAGTCTCCGTCCCTCGTTCACTACTGGATTCCATCGATTTTAGTCATGAATGCCGGTATCTATATTGGATTGGAATTGTAGATACAATGTAACCATATACATTGAATGTTCATTTTGCACTTACAGACGGCGAAGCGAGCCCACGGTCCTGACCGAAAATGTTAATAGATGGTGTGAGATCCGCATGGTAGGTACCGTTACAATAGTGTTCATCTTCCGACAAGTTGTTGATATTCATGCGGACGTAGGACCTACAGACCGCGCAGACAAAGTCTCGGAACGATGCACGAAACTATGCTACGTTCTTGAGAGGTAAGTAAACCATTGGGCTCTAACTGGAGGGTCAAACATCGCCATAATATTTAGTCCTACAGCTCGTCAGAACCTTATATTTACCATTGCAAAGAATGGTAACGTGAATACCGATGCCAAGTCTGAAAGTTTGGGCCATTTTTGTCAGTAACCAGTATTTTGAGCTTATACCGTGCTCGTCGACTTCATTCCGTTGTATTACACATTAGAAATTACAGGAATATCAGAAAACTTTCGAGGAGGCTGCCATAGCGTTCAGTGGGCTTGCCACGCGCATCGGATTTTTTTATTGAAGAGGTCCGGATTCACTTTCAAGGACAGAATACGGGTTGGAAGACTTGGGTATCGATGGCATGGGAATATCTCAAATGGTACATACCTTCATCATTCTGACACTTAAATCGATTCATTCTGACACTTACGTTTATTACAACAGTGTCGGGGCTTATCTTTTCGATGTATTAATAGTCCTGACCTTTTAAGTTTCATACGGTCTACTAATGTTTCGATTTGTTATATAGCTTTTCGACACTTTCGCTAAGATTGCTCTGGACTGCAGCCAGGGCTCCTCATACCATTCTTTTAAGAGTGGTAGGTCCTATTCATTCGTGCTGTAACTCTATTGTTGATTCTGATATCATTGTTTTTCTATGTAGTACTTGCGGAATACAATGTTGTCAATGGTATGGTACCCAGTAATCAGCAGCCTCACAATGATCATCGACTGAATATTCACATTATTGTCATAGCTCGAAACCCATATCCCCATACGGTGATCGACGAAATAAAACGGCGTAACGAACGTGTAGTTTCCACGTTGGAAAGTTACGACCAGGCCTTCGATACATGTCGAGGCTGTTGTAATGACATAAACAGGGCAATCGTCGATGGACAACCCCATATCGTATGTTCCTTACAGAATCTAGATTGTCAGCCTATTCACATTGCCATCGTCAGGATTATGATCCGTTTTGGCAGCAGACGGTCGTCGACGTGATCCGACCTTTGTTTCTTACCATGATCAATTGTCTCAATGCTTACTCCATGGATCAAGTTCCCGCTTGATTTTGGTTAGAACTCCTCTGTCGTCTTCTTGTGGCTACTCTAACGCGGCGCAGTAACATCTTGTGAATATAAACATAATTGATCCCGAGATTTTTATTGTAAATAGCCGTGACGATGTTTGCTCACAAAGCAGGATGTGGTACTCATAAATCCAAAGTATCGTTTCGTGTATTGCGTTCCATACCACTGTATGTTCTGTCCAACATAGGGCTCCGCTCTGAGGGACAATAAACTCGGAATTTAGAAAAAAAATTGTTTCGTGTCAGCCCCAGTAGTGCAGTCAACAACGATACATTCCATTTAGATACCGAAAATATTGACGAGCGGATAGCCAATTTTCGGTTTCCCAAATTGAGTGTATGCCATTCACTCTACCTTGTGACGAAATACAAACCGGATGCAGTCCATAAACTCAAATGTATAACCTGAATAAGCTACGAATCACCCCAATCCAACCCCAACGTCCCCTCCTTCCCCCCTCTCACCACACCCTCCACCGCTTCCGCAAGCCTCCTCAACGCCTTGACATCATCCTCATTCGCTCCCCTCACAC